CAACTGTCGACTCGTCTTCTTGGCTCGAAGTCCATTTTCCAAGATGCCGTCATGATCCGCTCGGGTTCCTTTCTCCCAATCATCTTACTTCTCTGAGACTCTCCTAGGATCACTGAAGACTGCATTCATCTTCCCACAGTCGGTCCATCTTCCCTGCCTAGATAGCGGCCTGTCGAAAAAAAAAACTCTGTTCATGTGTAATCCCAATTTTCCTGATTCTCGCTTCCACCCAGCCCAGACCGGGCAGACTTCCGTCTGATTAGCAGCCAGTCAAGAGATCTTCGAGGCAATTCCAAACGCGACCCCTTTCCCTTGTCGATGCTTACCCCGCCCAGGCTACCCATCCTGGCTCTATCTTCGTCCCTCAAGCTGGCTGCTTGGTTAGTCTTCATCTCGAGATGGCCGCAGGCCAGCTGGATCCTACTGGTCGCTTCCCTGGCCTGCCAATTTAGTCACCTCGAGCTGGCTGTCGCCGCCGACTGATCACCGCACACCGTGAATGGTCTCCACAAGGTTCGACATCCGCAATCGTCGTCGGACCCCTGCAGCTATGCCCAGATGCCGTCCTTCGGACAAGCTCTCCCTACCGTCGCACACGCCCGTGCTCCCCCAGTTTCAGTTTCGTGTAGACCCTGCGGTAGCACGACAGTCTCCTGAAGTCACGGTCCCGTCCGCCGCTTGGCTCCCCACTCCCGGCTGTCGCCGTCCGCGTGCCCTTCTCCAAAAGTCGGATTTTCGGTTCTTTGTAGCCAACCCCGAGTCTTCACAGGTGCATCCTCGTTCCGAGTTTTCCATGGCCCGTTTGAAAGTCTAACAGCAATCTCAGAGCCCTTGTTCCTGGTATCGAAACTCCCGCTTTTTGGTGGACCTGCGCTAGCCCACTTGCGATCCCGGTTGGGACCGTCACTCCAACCATTTGAAAGGTTAGTTATGGAGGCCCGGAAGCCCGGGGTCAACAAAACATCATCCCCGCATGCATGCAATCGTCAAAACCACGCAAAAGCAGCAAAGAAAGAAAAATATTTCCCTCTTTTAAGAAAAAAGACCCATCGGCTGGTAGGCAGCCGCCCGACAACCAGCCCACACCCCATTTCTCGTCGTCCCCGGCGAGCCTCTCTCACGACCCTTTCTTTTAACCACTGCCCCACAGCCAATGTTCACCCTCGAAATGTTTTTCACGTTTCACCCCATTTCCCCTGTTTAGATCACTCTGCCCTTTTTCATTAGACTCAATCCCTTTGTGTGAGTTCACGGTACATTCCTATCCCTTGTCTCATCGCCCCTCACGACACCCGCTTCTCTAACTATGGCACAGTTTTCCCTTCGACACATCACCCTTCCCGGAACAGGTTTTCCTAACCATGGTGCACTACCCTTTTTGGAATTACGGTTCGGCCCCCATTTCTCTAACTATGGCACATTCTTGCCCTTAAACTAGGGTACAATCATCTCCAGAACACGTCTCTCTAATTATGGTACGCCCTTCCCAAGAGACTCTACCCCCGTCTTCGTCTCCTCATCCTTTTCTCACGCTTCTCTCTCTTTCGCTTTCTCTCTTCTTTCTTTCGTCTGATTCTCAAGGCTTTCCTTGTGGCGCTCCTTCTTTCTTTTTGCCTGCGTTTCCCTAATCGGTTGGCGTCTCCGTCTTCTTCTCTAGGCCTTTTCTTCTTCCTCGGGGTCTTTGGTAGGGAAGGCTTCCGAACCTTGTACCCTTTCCTCGGTGGGCGAGACGAGGCCCCTTGTCTGGAGGTCTCCCCTTTTTCACTAGTGACGGTCAATTCTGCGTCTAGCGCTTCCTTCCCTTTCAGTTTCGGTTCCTCCCCAAGAGTCCCTCTTGATCGGAAGATTTTGAGACGAGCCCCCGCGATAGGGTCCCGCAGCTTACTCCCATCCAACTCCGCGAGCATATAGGCCCCCCCGTCCAATCTTTTTAGGACTTTATATGGTCCCATCCATCGGTTTGCCAATTTTCGGCTCCAGGTCTTTTCTAGTGACGAATCGTACATCAGCACTAGGTCGTTCACCCATATCGGCGCTTTTCGAACTCGCAGATTTTTGTCCCATCTATCTTTCCCTTTCACCCTTTCTCTCTCGATGTTCTCACTGGCTGTGGCTACCCCGGCATCCAAGTTCTCGGCTATCTATTGTATCCGTGCTTCCAATAGCTCACCCCTAGACATGTTGGTTTTCCATGAGACACTTGTCCAAGTGTCAATGTGGAACTCAATGGGTAGGGGACAATGCCTACCGAACCAAAGGGTGTAAGGAGGGTACCCAGTACTCGATTTGACCGTGATGTTGTCCGCCCAAACTGCGTACCGTAAATACTTAGGCCATTGTTCCGCGCGACCCTTGCACCACTTTGCTAGGGCGTCCACAAGTGTCTGGTGCCCCCTTTCTACCGGCGCGTTGCTTTGGGGGTGATAAGCGGTTGTATAGGCCGCCCCGATCCCTGCCTTTTCCAATAACGTCTTGACCTTCAGGCTCAAGAATTCCGCCCCCCTATCCATGACCATCCTCCCGACACACCCGTAGCGCGCGATGTACTCAAGGAGAAAATCACTTACCTCCTCCGCCGTCTTCTTCTTGATGGCTTTCGCTTCCACGAATCCGGTGAGGTCATCCCAGACGTTGATTATATATCGAAGCCCGCCAACCCCTTTCGGCATAGTTACTAAGTCTATATGGACCTTCTCGCCTGGAACCGAGGGGCGTGAAGGAACCAAGGGCTCCTTATAGCGAACTGTTGCTCTCTTCTGGCAAGCCTCACATGTAGAACAATACTTTTCTACCTCCTTGTATTGCTTGTCCCTCCAGTAAAGCCTGCGGACCTTATCGAAAGTGCCTTTGATCCCCCTGTGACCTCCAACGACCCCAATCGTGTAACTCCTCTATGACCGCCCTTCTCTCCCCCGGATCGCACAGCACCCTCATGGGTATTGCAAATTTGGTGGGTTTTTTGAACAGGTGGCCTCCCCGCAGGCAATACCCCAGCGCCTCTTGCTGGATCTTTTCAGTCCCTGTTTCCCTACCGGCCAAGTACAATCCTATGTCTCGGTACTTTCCGTCGTAGAGATTCGCGAGAAAGGTCCTTGGGCCCCCTTCTTCCCCTCGGCTGGCCCCAGCTATTTGCGCTCTATTTGCGGAGACTTTCATTATCGCCTCTTCGGCCATTGCCTCTTCTTCCTTCTTAAGCCTAGGCAGGTCCTCCTCTCGAATGGGAAGCCGGGACAATCCATCGGCGACCTGGTTTTTGGTCCCCGATATCCTCTCGATCCTATAGTCATAAAGCCTGATATGGATCATCCAGCGTGCGATGGTAGGATCCGTCAATGAGAAATCCTTTTGGAGGACCGCGGCCACTACTGTTGGGTCCACCCTTAGGAGAAAGCGTCGTCTGTACAAGTAGTGACGGAAGGCTTTCAGGCAATGCAGTACCCCCAACACTTCCTTCTTGAATTGGCTATAATTTATCTCTTTCGAATCGCAACGGTCTCTCTCTCCCTTCCCCATCCTTTTGCGACAGGAGACCCCCCACCGAGTGAGGTCCAGCGTCCGTAGATACTATAAACGGACGRCCTTCTTYGTCTTCAAAAAAYGGGACTCCTAGGACTTCTCCACCTTCGCRGAATTCCCCCTTCAAGGCTTCCATGGCCGCTGTTTGTTCTTCTCCCCAAACCCATCCTTCCGATTTCCTGAGGAGTCTTCTAAGGGGTTCCGCCTTCTCTCCATAGGCTTTTATGAAGATTCGCCAGTAGCCCACAACCCCTAGAAACTGTCGGACCTCCATTATGGATTTGAGTGGCGATGGCCAAGTCATCAACTTTACTACTAGTAGTTTCTCGGGATCGGGCCTCCGCCCCTCTTTATCGCAAATGAACCCTAATATCTTGATGGAGGATACGCCCCAGCGACTCTTAGTCCCGCTTACCGTGAGGTTCGCGTCGTCTAGTTTCTCAAGGACGTCTCATACATCTTTCATATGGTCGGCCACAAACTTTCTAACCCCCGGGAAAACCTCTGTCTCATCCTGCTCGACCGACCCTTTTATCGGGAAATCATCCAGGAAGACCTCTACCTTCTCCGGTATGAATTCCTTGAGGACCGCGATCATGGCTCTTTGGAACATGGCTACCCCATTCGTCCAACCTATTGGTACCACCATCATTTGAACCAGCCCTAAGGGTGTATGCATGGCGGTCATGTGCATGTCCCTGTAATCTAAGGGAATCTCGTCGTACCCTGAGAAAAGATCGCAAATAGAGTATATCGAGCGACCCGCGGACCCTTCCGCTAGTAAGTCGGCCTCAGGTATAGACCCCACGTCTCTCACGGTGACTACATTGGTCCGCTGGAGGTTCTGGATCCATCTTAGTTTGTTGCTACTTCCCTTCCTTAGAAAGAACCACTTATTGGAGTAGGCACTCTCGCAAGGTTCCGCGGCGAATGTCCTGATCTTTTCCTTGATGAAGGCCACTATCTTTTGTTTCTCCTTTTGAGCATACTTCCATTGAGGCCTATCCTTCCAAGGGACGTGGGGGACCGTGTGGATCCGGGCTGGCTCAACATACCTTGGGTCGATTCTCCCTCTCTACGAGTCATCAAAGGCAATGGCCTTGTCGCAACCCCTTCAGGTCATTGCTATGAACTCTTTTTCTTTCTCCGTGATATTCTCATCTCCTATATCCATTTTGGTCAGTCTATCGGCCGTTATCCTTTGCCTCTCCGTCTCTTTCCTCTTCCTGATGATATCGCCTATCTCCTCTTCCGATATCGTAGCTTCCCCCGTTCTATCCCGGCTGACCGTGACGGGTTTCACTTTTTCCGCCACGGTTTTGTACTTCTTAACTCCGCCGGCTAGGGGGATCCCTCCAAAAAAGACAAACAGACGCACCCACCGAACTCCTCTCCCTCGTCCTCCTTCTCGTACCCCATGCCGTTAATTACTATCCTGTCCCCCACGTCTTCGGTCTCCAATTGGTCCCCCTTGGGTCCTCTACCCGTCAAGGGCACTTCCTCTAGACGGACTTGATACACCCTCGACTGGGCCCCCTTGCGCCTAGTAAGGCTGGTCCGGTTACGTTCATCTTGAGCGTCCACGGTCTTTAGGACCACTCTGATTCCATCAAGACTTTGGATCGAGAGAGTTTGACTTCCATCCGGCAAATAAACTGTGGTTGCATGTACCGCGCTTAGCCAAGTCCTCCCAAGGATTAATTCGGAGGAACATTCTTTTACCGAAAAGATCAGTACCGTGGCCTCCACACCAGCTACCTCAATTACGGGGCTATAACACACCCCTTCCGCTGGTTGCAGCTTGTTATCTGCCACCACCATCGACATTGACACCCCTCGGTCTATCTCTAGGCCTAGTTCTCTCGCGATGGAGTCCCTACATACCGTAGACTCGGACCCATTGTCCACTAAGGCCCTCATCTTTTTCCCACTTACCACCGCCTGGAGCTGACCACTCCCTAGCACGTAGAACTTCTTGGCCTCTTCCCCCGAGAAGAAATTGACCGGCAGCTCCTCCATGGTAATGCGGGTGGCCTGCACTTCTTCCTTGGCGGGACCTTCCACTAACACCGTTGGCGCTACCGCTAGCGGGACTCTCACCTTCCTTATGATACTTAGGAGCTCCTCTCTGGCACTTTTGCTTGTGGCCAGGTACTCTAAAATGGTGCACTGCATGGGCTCCATCAGCGTTTGCCTAAGGGGTGCTACCGTGTCTATCTCATCCAAGGTGCACTTCATTTCGAACTTTTTGGGGCCCCTTTTCTTAGGTGATTTTGGCGAAGTGGGTTTTTCTTTCTTCTCCTCCACTGCTTTCGCATCGGTCATTGGCTGGTCACTGTCGCCGCTTTTCACCTCTGTACTTTCCGTCACGCTCGCTTGGTTCTCAGATGTCTCAGCCCCGACCTGCGTCCTCACCCTTAGGCAGAGCCTCTCCTCCTCGGCCTGTGTATCTATGAACTTGATGCTGGATACTTGGGGTTCCCTAATGGACAACCCTCCCGGTGACTCCACCATTTCGATGTGAGCCGCGCTGGAGGAGCCCCCGACCTCCGGCTTCTTCCCTAGCCTAGCCTCTTGAAGGGCCACCCTTTTGTCCACGTTCACCTTCATTGATGGATAGAAGGAGACCACCTCTCCGCTATCTCCCCACACAACCCACTTGTTTTCATTCAACTTGACTACTCCCAATCTCAACGCCTCCGTGAGATAAGGGCAGTCCCTTCTGATGTGGTTTTCTTCGTTGCAGTAGACACACCCGGCCCGAGCTTGGGGATTGTTGGGAAGCGGACCCCTTTGTGCTGTTGCCGCTATGGGCGCAGGTGGAGCCGGTGGCGGCGGTGACGGAGGTGGTGGTGCTCTAAACTCCGGTCGCGGCCCAGGGGCCCTAGCTTGAGGGGCGTCTCCCCACCTTCCATCCCTAGCATCCTTCCAATGGGAGGTTCCCCAATCAGAACCGCGATTCCCCCCTATCTCCCTGTCGTTTCTCCAACCTCCCTGACCACTTGATTCGTTCCTCCGTCCGGCAGGCCGGTCTCCCCACCGGGGACCAGGCGGAGCCGGTGGTGGTCTATCGCTCCCTCTTGGACCATCGTTCCGTATCCCTCGCATGTTGCGGAGAGCCATGTCCAAGGTCTCTTTCATGTATTCTCTTACGTCTACCCCTCCCCCTGTGAAAACCACTTCGGCCACTTTCTCGAAATTTGCAGAATCCCTCGGGGCCTTTTCAAGGACCTCCTTCCTCTTTTCTTCAGGCAGGTGTAGCATGAATATTACGCACCTGTCTACCTCGGACAACATGCCCCTATCCACTAGGGTTTGGGATAAGCATTTGAACCTTCGGGTGAAGGCTACCAAGCTTTCTCGTTCCCCCCTTGAAATCCGCCGCAAGCCCTCTACGGTCGGGATTAAGTCATCACAGGCAAAAGTCTGCAATAGGCTCGCCCTGAAGGTTCTCCATCGACCGTCCGAGGGGTAGATAGCCCGGATCGCGGCGTCCAATTCGGGGTCCGAGTGCTGGATAAAATAGTCGATCCACTCCCTTTCGGAGAATCTCTTGCGGTACGCGTAACTTTCTCATTTCTCCACGAATCCAATTACATCTCGCCCATCGAAAAAAAGCGCCTCCAGACCCAGGTTGACGTCATAATAGGGCACCCATCGGTCGTCATATCGACGAAAATAGGGACCTTCCATAGGTCCATCGGTCGCCGGATCGTGCGGCTTGTACCACGAGGGATCGGGCTCCTCTACCCGGCCTCGGGGTCTTGATGGCTCCCAGGGGTCTTCCCCGTAGCGACCCCGCTCATCTGGCCAGTCCGCTTCCCACCGAGCGTGGTCCTGTCCTCTAAAACTCCTCCGGGCCTCCATCCCTTGACTCCTGCCCGTTATCTTGCCAGGTGCCCAAGCCCCATCTGTCTCTCTCACGGCCCATCTACGCGACCTACCTCCGGCCTCCACCGGCCTTTCTTCTCTAAGACCCCTTCTACTTGGCCCCTCTTCCTCTTCTCTTTGGAGTGGTTGGTACCCTCCCCTATCTCTTAGAAATTCCAGGGCTTCTCCCATTCTTGCGCCCAGCAAATCCCCCCACCGAGATTCTACAGGGAGGCCTCTCGAGCCCTCGATCATCCCTTCCCATGCAGGCATTCGCCTTTCCGTGCCAGTTCTTGGTCCCGCCAAGGCCTCCCTTTCACTGGCAACGCCCTCCGGAATCCTATCGGCCCATCTCCGCGGCCGGCCGTCGGACTCGGCTGGCCCCCTCTCTCGCGGGTCTCTCCCACCCCGACATACTTCTCCCTCTTCCCTAAGCGGTTGATATCCTTGTCTATCTCTAGAGAATTCCCGTTCTTCCTCTAATCGGGCTTCGACATCCATTAGGTCAGCCCACCGGGACTCCACCGGGACGCCTCTCGCAGCTTCGGCTACCCCTTCGTTTACCGGCACCCGTGGCCCCACATCCCTGTGCACTCGCACTTTCGTGCCGGCCCTTTGCCCCTCCGAAGCTGGTCTCTCCCCCGGAGCCATTTCTGGGACCCCTTCGGCCCTATCAAGCGTCTCCTTCCCGTCAGTCATTTCTTCCACTACCTTGCTTAGACTGGCCCCCAATTCGGGGCTCTTCACTATCCCCCTTCGTTCAGTGGTTTCCGGCGGACCAGGGAGACCAGCCCCCGCTTCACTCTCCATGCACCCTTATCCGCTACTTCTAGTCGCCTCCCTCACTACGTCCGTGTCACTACCCGGCTCGCCCTCCTCACCACTGTCTCTGTTATTTCCCGAGCTCTTTTCCTCCTCTGTTCCCTCCTTCTCCTCGCTAGAATCCTCGTCCGCACCTTCCCCCTCTGACTCCTCACTGGTTACTGTCCACCAGGAATCCCTCAGTTTTTTCTCCTCACTGGCGGCCAATGCAAGATTAGCGATCTCTAGGTCCGAGATACCTCTAACCCCCTCTTGCGCACACCTTCTAATCAAATCCCTGTCCACATCACCAGGCTGCCCGGAGAATAGAGGCTTGATGAACTCCCCAACGCGTGCCCACCACTCGAAATCGGTGTCTTTTCTCGACTCCCAGCACTGGGTGAATAACTCGTGTCCCCCTTCCTCGCCCAGCGGGAATTTTTCTATCACTTGACTCCACAATCGGACTTTCCTCGCGGTCTCGTCGTCCTTATAGAGTAGTCGATAGGCCCAGGTAGGAATACTCCAAGTTCTTCCGTGGCCTGCTCTCGGAACCTCTTCCCTCCCTCGGTATTCTACCCTATCAAATACGGGTCCCCCGGTACCACCCCTTCTCAACCTCTGTACTCGTTCTAGGGTTTTTTCGGCGATGCCTAGAGGGTCTTTTCCTTCCGCTAATTCAGTTGCGAAGACCAGCTGGGCGTCAGGGGACAAAAATATTTCCGTTTTTCTAGTGCAGCCGTTCTCATCGGAGGCCACTGAGAACCTGACCGCCGTCTCCTGCTCGTAAATCTCAAAGAGCTCGGTAGTCACTTCGCCTTCTCCTCTAATCCTAGGAAGAGTCACTCCATATTTCCCTGCCCACATAAAAACCCTCTCTATGGTGCCGTAAGGGTCCCCCCTTTCGTATCTAATCATAGGGGTTCTCACCTCACGCCTGCTAACCGCTCGGCGGCTTCGACCAAAGAGTCCTCGCACCTAGCTCGACCCGCCCCCCTATCCCCCCTTAGGTTTGGCGCAAAGTCTCTTCGTATTCGCTCGTCCTATCCCAAAACCGAGTTTCCACAAGGTGTGTCCTAGACGTTAGTGGCGTTCCCAGACACCTTGAGTCCTCCTCGAACTTTCTCTCTACTTCCAGCAAAGGCTCCCTCCAAGTCCTCGAGAATCTCACGCCACTCACGTCTTTAATGTGGACCGAAAAGGTAGCTAGTGTGGTCCAGTTCCTTCTCTTCCACAAAGCCAGCCTCCGGACTTCCACTAGAAACTCCGTCTCGGCGCGGACTATCCGGTCCTCCCCCAATTCCGGGTTAAGCTCGACACCCCCCTCGATCCTAACCTCGCTCCCGTCCTCGTAGGTCTCTAGTTCTCAGCGAATCCTGTTTGAGACGAAAGAGGCTCTCATCCCCTTACCCCAAGAGAAGGTCTATCGTGACCTCGTCGAGGATTGCGATCGTGGCTGTCTCTAATAGCTTGATCCTTGCCAAGGACCCTGGCCTAGCCCTCCTTTCTTCTTCCCAGCACAGAGCAAGGATCCGCTGAACTTCGCCCCTCACTCTATCCAACCCCACGAGCTCCTCAAGGTCCGGCTCGGTCATCCCCTAACTTCCGTTGACGACAGGCTATAGCTACCCGAATCAAATCAGAGGGGTCTAACCCCGCTAGCTCTCCCTCACAGATCTTGCCTAAATATCTCCACGATATCTTAGATTCTCTTGCGTGTCGACCCCACCCTTCAAAAGAGTAACCCAGGTCCTCTAAAGTCGACCAATCGTCTCTACAGGGGTCCCGAAAACACCAAGTTAGCAAGGTGTGTAGGTCTGATCCCGTGAACCTGAACTGACTTAGGATGGAAACCCTTCTTCCCACCACCTTCTTAACAGCCTCGGAGGGGTAAACCCGCTCAAAAATGAATCGGGAAACCTCCACAGGCTCGCTGGAGATGAACCGCGGTATCTCTTCCCAACCCCCGTAGGTCACTAGATATTCTTCTTCGCACCCTTCTTGAGGTCCCAACCCCTCCACTAATTCCTCTAACTGGCCCCTTACGGCTTGAGCGTCCCAGAGAGGGTCCTGCCCAGTCCGTAGGCTACGCGCTATCTCAACAAAGCCTTCCTTCGAAAGGAATATCCTGGCTTCCCCAACCACAACTTGTCCCTGGCGACTCACCACGAAGCGTACGAACGCCTTCCCTCGTCGGGTCCCCCCCTCCTCTCGTAGGAGAGTCCTAGCTAGTTCGGCCAGCCGGGCCCTAGGCAGAGTGATTCTAATAACCTCCCCGATATCCTTTACGGGCTCAATGGATGCCCAGAGAGTCCTCGGAATCCTTCTTATCATCGGCCCTCAAAACCCCTCCGGTTTGCCTCCTACTCCTCTTCGAAGAAGCGAGCGTACGGGACGTCCGCGACGAGGGATCGGAGTCCCTCAAACTCCCTCAATCTTCCAAATATGGTGGATAGCTCACCCCTTGGAGGAATTCCCKCGTCCACGCACCGAGTATAAAGCCAAAACAAACCCCTAGCCCGTACCCCGGATTCTCGAGCAGCCCTAAGCACCGCTACTACTCTCTCTTCCGGGTCCCTTAGGAACGAACTGGCTATGAACTGGGGTAAGTTAGCGTGAAGGACCCCGAAATCGCGAGGGACCTCTCCGGGCTCGGCGAAGGAAACTAGGGACCACGACTCGAAAGTCCCCTCCTCGTAATCTGTTAGCACCAGGTTGTACGCCAACAGCCTGGCGGACTCTCGGTACTCAAAGTGCGTAAGCCGCCCAGTCACTAAGCCTCTCCAGACCTCGGTCCACCTCTCTTCGTTGAAGAAAATGGTCGCTCGGATTTCTAGGAAGCGACCGATGTCGGGTGGGCCTCCTCTCTCCACACCCTCTTTCCAAGTGAGCCTTCACGCTCGAACCCACACGTAGGCCCCTTCTCTGATTAATCCCCCCTTCTCAACACTCATCCAATAAGGAGTCACCTAAGGGCCTCCTGGGATCAAGACCTTCTCGGGATCACTGGCCTCTATCGATTCCACCACCCCTTCTTCACTAAGGACGAACTTCACCATCGGCTTTCGTCGCCCTAAAGACCCACCTGTGWTAATCYTCYGGAGAGAGAGTGTAGGCMTTCTCTAAAGAACCCAATYTACGGAAAATACCCCAGAGTCTCYTGCGCGGCGGAATACCTTGATCGATGMAGTGTGTATAGAGTATCCACAGGGACCAGAAGGTAAGGCCCAAACTCCTACCTCTCTCTAGAAGACGCACTATCTTTTCCTCGTTTGCCCTAGGGAACAGGTAAGACGGCACCCTCAGAGTCAAGGGGTATCTTGACCTTGGAAGCTCTCCCTTCCTTGCGAACCTCTCCTTTTCCACGGGTGCGAATGCAAATCGCTCTCTAACCCTGCCTATCCATTCTCCTCTTACCTCCCTTGCTTCTCGCAACAGTCTTTCGAGCCCACCCCCTTGTCCCAGAACTTGGGGTACAACAAGCTTTGCCCAGGCTTCCGGTGCTACGTAAATAACCGCAGTCACTTCAAGGCTCCGTCCAACACCTTGGCCTTCTACTTCCTTGGACTCCACCCACACAAATTCCCCACTGATCGTGGACCGTCCCTCTTCTACCCTTTCCCAATCAGGGACTTCCCCGTTGCTAGGGATCAGCCTAAGGGCCTCACTGTCTTCTAATGGGGACTCTAAGAAGCACCCCCGCTTTTTATCACGGAACACCATTCATCTAAAAGACCCTCTGTTGTACCCCGAAGACCCTTTGGTAACCGTAGTCTCTTCCTCCCTCGCGGTCCCGGGTGGACTCCCTAAGGATCCCGACACGAATCCTACAAGCCTTGATCCCGTATGGCACCGGGTTATCTACGCAGTAGGAGTAGTACCAATGGAGTGACCTAACAGAGAGCTGCCACCCCCTTCCCCGCACTATGGACCGCACTACCCTGTCGTATCGTTCCTCCTTCCCGCTCACCCTTCGGAAAACAAATGATGGGAATATGGCCCTGACGCACCCTGTGGCACGAGGGTACTCTCCGTCACGTGCGCAGGTCACCCTCACCTCGACGGGTGGGCAGTGTCTAAGGGGGTCAACCTCAAAGATCTGCCTCGAAATCGGTCCTGCCCGGGCTTCCCAATGATCCGCACGGTACCACCCCAAGACCAAATGAGTGACGTACTCGGCCCAAGCTTCCTTACTCAAGTAGACTGTTCCTTCCGCACGGATCACGGTTCGCCTGGGTCTCTTCCCGTTCTGGGGCCTGTTCCGGGACCACTTGTCCCCCTCCCAAGTTCCCACTGCGAAACGAGCCCAGAGAAAAACCCCTCTCTCTAGCTCTACCCCCCTCTCGCGACTGGCTAGATACCGCTCCGTGCGGTGGTCTAAGGGGACGCTGAAGCACTCTCCGTCTTTACTTAGATCAGCTTTCTCAATCCGAACCTCTTCTTCTTCAGTACCCTCTATGATTCTAACCATCCCTTAGGACTATCTCCTCTATGATTTGAACTAGCGCTCTCCACTCGTCCGACCCGTCCAGGAAGGCGTCCGGAATAGTGGGGACTGGCCTACCCCCTCGCGGATACGTCCGGCACCCCAACGAGAAGAAATAGTTAATTTCGTAAGCCCCTAGCAGCTGCTTCTCAAGCTGCGCGTGACCGATCGCCTCCTCCCAGCTGTCAAAATACCCCGCCGCTCTATCTACTCCTTCTTCCACGTACAAGGCTATGTCGAAGTGCCCGGTCCACCAGTAGAAGGTATAGCACCAAACATCTACTCCGCCTATACCACCCACACTAACCCCCGCGGGCTCAAACTCCAAAGGCCTTAAGCTCATGGATCCGCCGCTCTCACCATACGCTTCGCTATCCCTACTATTACTTTCCATCCATCCGACCCATCAAGATAAGCGTCCGGAATTACCGGCGCCGGGCGACCACCTCTCAGGAAGGTACGATATCCTAGAGAGTAGAAATACTTGAATCCGTAACTCCTTAACTCCCCCCGCGAACATCGGGAGTCGCCTATCGCCTTTTCCCACCCTCGAAGGAAGTCCTCTCCCTGGTCTTGCCCCTCTTCTACATAAACACCTACATCAAAGTCCCCAGTCCATAGTCTAAAGGAGTAGCACCACACATCAACACTCCCGTGCGTACACACACTAATCCATTCGGGAGTGGCTTCTAGGCTCATACAGTATGATCAAAGGAAACTTCCCTAAATTCTCACTCCCTATTGGCCACTCGAGAGACCACCTCTATCCTGCGAGGAAGAGAAGCCTGTGAGCTCAGAAGGATCAAATGAACCAGAGAAGGAACACCGTCCCACTCGGCTACCTTCCTGTCCTCCCCCGTTGAGAGATTCCTCCCCACTCCCGGCCTAGAGACTAGCCGCGGACACAGGTTATCCCCGAGGAAGGGTGGCAACCCCCTCCCCAGAGTCGGACCGAAGTCACACACCCGCACCCTACGTCCCCCACTGAACCGACCTCTAGTCCTAATTAGCCTATCCGGTACCACGCCTCTACTCGGCCCACCTCAAGCGTGGAATTACCCGGGTCCTTGGACAAGATCCACCTATGTATCGGAAATCGCTAGCCTATCTACTCCCTCCCCATTCTCCTCATCGTGAACTCTTCGCACCTCGTTCCCTTCTTCCTTTTTCGCCTCCCGCTGCCTCTCTTCTCTCTTGGAATCACTGGAAGATCGGGGAATGTAAGAAAAAGGGTGGGGAGAGCGGAGCTTTTTAGGAAGAGGCTCTCAGGCGGGGTTGACGAGCATACGTACCTTGGGTCTTCAATACTCGTTATCGTACTCCCAATATTCCCCCAGTTCCGAGTCCGAGAAATCGGCTAGACACCGGTCCACCCAGGAGCCGGCCTCCGATCCCTCGCCCAAGGTCCCCCAAGTATCCCCCTCTTCTTGAATGTCCTCGCTATGAAG